CTTTTTACCGTTATGCATTATAAACAACTGACAAGTCTACAAATTTTACTGATGCCTCCGCTCTAAAATATCTGAAATATCGGTGCGTTCTCGTGTATTTTTCCTTATAGATTTAGCAAAGATGAGACGATTAATTGCTTCACCGTATCCTGTTTGCTTAGAACTCAATTAAAAACCGACAAAACTTTGTCAAATGTCGCTTTTAATGCTACTAAAAAATATCGAAACTAGTGAACAAACTATTCCTTTGCTAGGGCGAAACGACAGGGTTTTTTAAGCATCACATTCAGAGCAATGATATAAATATTGAAAACCTAGTACAGGTGTTCACAAGCAATAGTTATTTAACATTTAGTATTAATATGGGAAGGCTTGACGCTTGATCGGAAAGTGGATGTTGTTTGTACGGTGTATGAATACCACCTACATGGACCTAAAAGCTTCTTGTTGCTGTTGGGCGAAAACTTGGCAAGAAGGTACAGGCTTGATGAGGGCTTTTTAACTTTTTTTTCAAATGTTGAGACTTGAAACATCCAAAATTCTGCTATCTTATTACATAGTATTTTCGCGACACTTCAGGTTCGCAATTAAAGTGACGTGAGTGTCGCGAACATAACGTGAGGCGAAATTATTCTGTGAAAGGATGCGAGCAAGCGGGAATTACTATTGTCGTAACTGAGAGTAGGGTGCCACCTTCCGTTGATACTTTTCAAGATATATACATGCATAACTTCTTGTGAGGCTTGTTTATAGTAGCTATCGTGGACAATTGACTGGAAATAATTTATGTACAAACATGAACTTCTTTGGGGACTTTGTGAGAACTTCTTTATTGTTAACGTTTAATAATGTAGAAGTCGTTTTTTTTATTAAATCTAAAGTTAAATCAATTGTGTCCTGCAAAAAACGCGGAATTTAATTGCCTCTTAATGTCGCGAACGTTCATGTAAGAAGGTATTTTAATTTGAGCCTTAAAAAATCTACTTCTTAGAACTGCAGCCGGTCCATTTGAAGGTCATCCTCGGAGACCCAGGGGCAGTCAGTCGGGTCGAGAGAAAAGGCGCAACGAAAGTTTTCAAGTATGGGCGAAAGAGCTCTTTCGCCCGTACTTGAAAACTTTGGTCGCGCCTTTTCTTTCGACCCGACTGACTGCCCCTGGGTTTCCGAGGATGATTGAAGGTTGAAATTACAGGAGTTTGCAACGCAAAAGCATTGTTACACAAAAGTTGTCAAAAATTGCCGAAGCATTTTTGACGATAACTTTACAACTTTATGTTCGACGAATTCTGAAATTAAAAAAAAGGACGAAACAAGCCTGTTGAAAACTCAAACAGTACTCGGTCTCGGTGAATGAAGGGTTTCGATGAAAACAATCATCTTACTATCTTAAATAAACAACCATAGCGTGTTGCCCGAATCAACCAGTGTAGGACTTATATATTGGTCACAGTTCTTTTCCTATTTAAAGTAGTTTTGCTAATTTGCAGAGAAGAAACAAATATTTGCGTGATATTATGCTAAATTTGTTCTCAAAGACGGTTATAATTCAAATTTAGAACAAAACTTCCTAAAAAAATTTAGTTAAACCCCATTCTGA